GATACCTCCAAAGGTGGCCTACCACAAGACAATGCCTTCACACAGCACTGTGGTCCCCACTCTGTCACCGTCCCCCACACCTGGCTGCCCCCCTGGGCTCAGCACTGTGGTCTAATGGCTAGCAACACCCTTCCTTTCAGCATGCCAAAAGCCACCCAGTGCTTTTGCTCCCACTCTCTGTGATTTAATTCTTCTTTTCCTGGCATATATATAACATGTTCATCAAGTCAGATTCAAAGGAGAACTGAAGAGACTTGGTTACCTTCACAGATAGACCAAGTTCACAACAACAGATTCGTTGCTTGTGACAGCTCTAAATCTGAGGTGATGTGAACTTCAAAGCATCAATGACGTCATAACGATTTCACTGTGCAGTTAGAGCTGGAGTTGTTAGAGGAATTAATGCTCTCTGAAATCTTTAAAGGAAAGAATAATTTTAGAAACTATTTGGGACATTTTTAAAAAATAACTTGTTTTAACAGGTATTTGCTCCAGCTTTGTCTAGGACTACCTAGGCTATCCTTTCCTCTATGCGAGAATAATTCTTCAGATCATATTTATGGTGTGTTTATCAGTATATAATAATAAAATCTGTGCTTTCTATTGTTTAGAAGCCATTACTTTCATTTTTTTTTCCTGCTGCAACCTCATTCAAGAAGATAATAAAAGAAAACTTTTCTTAAATATTATTAATAAATCAACATAGATTTTTTTATTTATGGCTGGGCGTGGTAAAAAAAATGAAAAGATTTTCCATGGAGAAGCTTTCCATTTTCTCCCAAGCAATCCAAAAGGAACTGCTCCATTTTCTTTAGTCATTCAATATCTGCTACTCCAGCAACAGTGAGCCAAACTAATTCAACATATTAGCACTTGGGCCACTGCTAGTAATTTTTGGAGTTTTGGTGGTTTTATGGTAGTTCTCTGCCTCATGATCTACTCTACACTACTCCTTAGCTCTCACCACCAGCCACTTAATTGTTACAGACCCTTTCTTCCCAGGCTCTCTTTCTTCTGAAAGCTCTTTTTTTCTTGTGCACCAGAACAAAAGCAATTTAGAATCCTTGGAAATGTTCACAAAATTAAATTATTTTCTGGCCAGTCCCACCCAGCATGGTGCAAGAGAAGCCTGTGTCCTTGTAAAACATTAATAGCCTTTCATTATATTCTCATTCTAAGCCAGTCAATCTCCTAATGCTTTTGATGTAAGTTTTAGTGGACTGCATGTCAAGTAGAGGACATTATCCCAGTAGCTGTACAGTGATTATGGAGGCTACAGCGGTTTTTCTTGAATGAAAGTACGAGTAAAATGTCAAATGTTTTCATAGAGATCACTGCTGTGCTTACTAAATTACTGGTTTCTCTGGTGAGTCCTAAGGCTGTATATGTATATTAGCAAAACAAAACAACAAAGTAGAGGTTCACTAGGTCAGATGCTGTCAAATCATACCCTGAAAAGCACAGAGATTTTATTTTTTAACTCTGCTCTTTTCAGGCTCTCTTCACTGTGACTAATGCTCTCCACATCTGCCTCAGTACAGCAAGTTTCTTAAACCTCCATTTTTTGGATATTAAAAGAGATGAAGACCACAATGTTTTAGAAATTGCTGCAAACTGTTGATGATGGTGTCATATATGCTTTACATTAACATCTCCTATGATCTGAGCATGTGGATATTAATAAACTTTGAATTCATTACAGAATATTGAACAGACTGTGAGGACTTTGAATAAGAATTAAAGTTTGATAGAAAAGGAAAATATTTTCTTTTCAGATATCTGTAACCATATCTGGCATACATAACAGTTCACTTATAAAACTCACTTATATCTTCTTTGTTTCATTTTTGTAATGATTCCTATAAAGTCAGGAAGAAACTTGTTGCTCCTAATATGATACTAAGAGACAAAATTAATTTCTTACAATATAGATAAATGCACTGCTGTCTGTTAGCAAAGAATTTCATAAAACTAAATTATTATGACAAGAAATATTGAATTTAAATTAGTGTCATCTTCAAAGATCTTTTTAATAAATCTTACATTTTCCATGGTGAACAGTTGTCGACAAATGATAGTTCATAAGAATACTTATGATTTGATTTCAACTAGTTTTTCTTGACAAAGATATAACTGACTTTAAAAATACTCTCAGAAGAATCAAGGCCTCTTGCACATATAAATAAGACTTAGTCTTATATTTCACCTGAACTTCTAAAAAAATATTATCAAGACCCTGAGTTTCTACCACTAGGGTACTGTTAGGTGCAACTGAAACACAGACAGAGAATTCTCTACTTTGAGTAATTCTTAAATTGCCACCCAAAACCAGAGTTTTATGAAATTATGAATTTGGGTCTATACACAATAAAAGCCAAACAATACACTTTTCAGAATCTGTAATTATTTAATGAGAGTTGAAGGAATGTTCTTGTTTTCACTTCTCTGATTTTACTAATACATGACTGCAATTCATTAATTCAGGGTCAGACAATGAGCCTCTGAGCAATTATTCACATGACTGCTCTCAGAATTCAATGTCCTCATTTAATGTCCCATTAACATGGTACATGGGTGCATCTAACTAAAGCAAACATGAAGCACTGCAAAGTCCCTAATCTCAGCTACTATCTGTTGAGAAAAATGAGATAAGAAAATGGCTTCATGAGCTCAGCTTGTTCAAGAAAACATTTTGCTGAAAAAAACACCCAAGCCTTATACCACATTCTGAAAACCAAGAAAGTCAGGATTTTTCAGAATTTTAGAGACACTAGTCTACACAGTTTGGAAAAATTCAAGACAATGCTATGGAGGGAAAAAAATCTAATATTAAATTCTAAAAATACTTCAGTATTACACTGGAGAAGTGTAAAGAGGAAACAAAGAAGTCAGGAAGGCATACAGGCAACTCAGTCTCACTCGTGACCTCACTTATTCTATGTCAACAGCAGCCTCCATAGCCAGGCACCTTACCAGAAGAGGTAATATGAGTCTTTGTTTAAGTACACAACAAACCAAAGTTCTCTTCTCAGGGAAATTAGATGTTCTTTCATTCCTGGTCATGTCTCCTAGTCCAGCACTCTTTTAATATATACATTTTTAATTTACATAAAGAAAATGTTGTTATAGTTAATGTGATAATGAAGAAAGGGAACTAAACCACTTTTTTTCTACCTGCCTCTCTATATTCTCTATCGTGCATTTTATGACCAAAATTTTGCAGGTAGATTTAGGATGTAGCCTGAAGGATGCCATAAAACCATGACTCATGAGCTAAATGCCAAGTCACCTCCATATGCTCATTTCTTTCATGTATTTTTGGAGCACATGTTGCCAAAAGAGAAGACAAAAGAGAAAGAGACACTGCTTTAGTGCTTCCACACTGACACAGTTCCCATGCCTTGTTGGAGGCAGGCTTTATTTTACCATAGTATCTCACAGAGAGATTTGGAAATACATGCTATTCCCTGGCTTATCCAGCAGCCTGGTGATTTCCTCAACACAGACAAATATCTTAATACTATTATCCGGCCCACAGGCATTGCAGGAGTCTCAAATCTTTACAAGTCGGATATCAGCTAGGCCTAAAAGTCATTGCATATATTCCTGCTCATCAAAAGTAGGGTATTGGATACATTTTAGAGAGATATGTCCTTCACGGCTGAAGATAAAGGCTAATGAGGCTGGAATTAGCATAGATTAACATCATCCAGTTTTAAAAAGTGTTGAGGGAGTATGAGTCCAATCCAAAACCCAAGATTCATACCACTCATCACCATCCCATAGTACCACATCTAAAAGGATCTTTCCCTGCCTCATGTTAATTTGATCCAAAATATAAATTCTTTCCCCAGGGAGCATTTCTTTGTCATGTTCTGTACCGAGATATGTATAAATCAGTCTGTACTAGTTCTGCAGTTGGCATGCAAGTGCTAGCTGTTCGTGGAACTATTAACTGCCATTAATACTGGATTGCGTAGTAGGCAACACAGAGGCGTAGAGATCTTATCTCCTGAGGTATTTTTGTAGCCAGTGATGTTCTGTAGTCAGAAGTTTCTTTTGTGGGTGATTAAGAGCAAGCACCTGACTGTATTATGAAATGAACTTCGTAGACTGTCAAAGCCTGTGAAAATCCTTCTGCCTTCACCAGAGTGAAGTTTCACTTTATCAGTACCTATTTTAGGGCCTTGAGAACAAAATCTGTGGAAGACAGTTCCCAAGATAAATTACGCTTGAGAGGACAAAGACTCTCTCTTCTATAAAGTGTGTTGCATTACAGTTATTGATAGGTGTTATTTTCACAACTAATAATGCTTTATGTGTCATGTCCAGGAAAGGTCCATCCTTCATCTTCAAATGTATACGTATATATACATTTATATATACAAAACATATATGTAAATGTAAGAAGTCTTTGTTAATCCTCTGTCATTTCTTTACAAAAAGACATTACAAAATCAAAACAGTATGTTGTTCATTCCTATAAGGCATTTAATCTGAAAATTTACATTTCTCACTTTTGTTCTTGAAATTTTTTAACCAAGTGCAACTTGCCTTTGTGAAAGTCAAGAAACAGAGCCCAATCTTGCTTCAACGTTAGACACTGGAGAAACTACTGTACTGTAGAAACTAGTACATGGGAAATATTTCACTTTTTTAGATGATGTAGAAGGATCTTTAAGCAAGACTTTAAATGGCCTTTTAGGGTCTAGAGAGTCCTCTTATCCATAGCCCCGCATGGATATTAGTACCTCCAATGCATTATACACCGGACCTGATGCTGGGCTGGAACCCAAAATGCTATTCAGACCGCTTAAAACAGATGTGTCCTACCCCACTGGAATCCTTTTGTGTCCTATTTCCTGACAAAAAGACAAGCCACTGAAGAGAACAAAGAATAGTCCAGTACTGCTTTAGCCTCTGAAGTGTGATGTGTCCTTGAATGACTCAATGAAATTCTCTACTATAAAGAGCAAGATGAAATTCCACAAAATACTTACAGTTCTTTGCATTAGTAAAGGAGTTTCTGAACAACCTATCCCTTCATCATTAAAACTTGACTCCATATTGATTATGTCTTCAATCACCTCTTCCATCTGATAAAACAACATTTAAATACCAATCATTGCAAATAATAAGGAATGCAATGTTATTCTGAAATACAGAGGAATTAATCTTGAGTATTTATTACATCAGTAAAACTGAATTTCAGAAGTTTCTGTCTTAAAATTCAAATAATTCAAGCACATTTACACAATATTCACATTTTCTATTTCTTGTGAAAGCAGTTTTTGTGGTTTAGCAGGTTACTTCTTTCCTCCCAAACACCAGCCCATTCCTCTTTTTTAACCCCTTATTGCAACACCAAGATTAGATGACAGGAGTGCATTGCTAAGTTGTGACTGTGATCTGTCAAATTCATCAAATGCATCATATCCACAGTGTATTGTTGTATTGGTGCAGACAAGCTGAAAGGAACCTGTGGTTCCACAAGAGTGTGAGTCACTCAAGATTTGGTGAGCTCTCAAGATTCTGCAGGCAGAGGTTTGTGTTTGGCAGTACACCGAATACTTCTCCAGACAGCCTTCTAGTCCAGTTACTGAAGCAGGTGGAATAGCTAACTAATTATTTAGGATGAAACAGTAAATACTTTGAAGACTTGTAGTTGTATATAGATTTGGACAAGGTACATCATGAGTTTTCAGTGATAATTTTGGTCTGGTTCTGTTCATAAAATAACTTTCGGAAAGACCCCATGTTGAACCTGTCACTATTAAGTGAACTGTCTGCAGGAGCACTTGACTCATACCCTTAGGCTTTTCAAGTAGCTCTTGGGAGCTGTCTGAAGAGCTGAAGCTGAAGGAAATACATAAGGTCCTATGCAACAAAAAATCATACTGGCCAGGGACCTTTCAACACAGACTTCTGGGCCATGTGGCCCAGCACAGCTCATATGTGCACTCCTTTCACTCTCTTAAAACCAGACATGCACTGTCCCTGGAGCTCTGCCCAGACTTATCTGCGAAAGTGCTGTCAGGGCCAAAAGGACTTCAGAAAATACCAGAAAGTAGATAATATTGATGACTACAGTTCACTGCACCAACCTGTGTACTGGTTTTATGTTATTTCCTAATATGTCCATAGCCCACACTGAACCACTGGACACATCCACACTAGGAATTACACGGTGCTAGTCATCTCCCTGAGGCTTTGGAATGGGATTATTCAAGTAATCGGAAAGATGTCTGTGAGGATTTTCACCAGTGCCAACTATCACTCATCCAGTCATCACCAGGATGCTGAGAGTGGTTTACAAGCAGCTGTCTTTTTCTCCATGATAGAGAGTGGTACAAGGCTGGCCACTGGTTATTCCTGGTAAGATACCCAAAGTGCCTAAGAACAGTTCCATCACCCTGCACTTGCCAAGACATAGGTGACCAGAGAGGTGTCCACAAAGTCCATCTAAAATAATCTTGGCAGATTAGTGGCTTCAGTAATCGATAAACCTGACATAAAATAACAGTGTTCAGTGCAGAAGGAATGGAGGGGCTCCAGATGAGCTCTCCAGGAAGTGTTTGCTGTATATTTTTCAGTTCCCACATGCTTAGCTGCATAGCATTCAAATGCTCAAACGGTTTACAGTGAATTTGTAAGATTCTCCTGTTCTAGTAAATCCCAAGATATGATGCAGCATCACCATTTTTTTATTTTTGTACGAATTCCCCTTTTACCTAATAAGCAGTGCCTTTTGAAATTTATTGAAGTATTAAAGGCCATAATGATCTACATCTCACACTGGCTGAGAATCTGATGCTGTGTAATAGCTGCACCTCTACTAAAATCAACGGTGTCACTAAAGTTAGCATATCTATGCCAATTTACCCAAGATAACCCATACATAAATATACCTGCTAACTGAGAAATGAATGAGCAATTCCTTCAGTAACATCTTTAAGATAATCAGTATTTAACTTTGTTATGCAGCTAGGATAATGCTTTTAGACAGAAATAATTCGCATCTAAAAAAAAATGTCACTGCAAAGAACATATTCAAAAAATATACAGGAATATATGACACACAGATAAAAAGATGCAACAGTACATTTTATCTGGCAGTAATTTAGAAGCTTCATCATTTAATAAGCTATTCACAGGCATTCAAGGGAGTCATTCACGTAACCTAAGAGGATTCAGCAAGCAAGTACTGCAACCAAAGGCCCCATGAAAGTAAAGAAAGTCACCTCTCGCTCACTACCAATGCAAGGTGGGCCATGTAACATTTTTGTAGAAGCACGCAAGCCCCATTTCCCTGTTCCTCTCACCAGCCCTGCCCTACCGCATTTTCGTGTTCGCCTCCAAGGGCCAGCAGCTTGGTCACGGGGCTCTCTGCTGTGCCAATATCACTGACGGGAGGCATGTGCCCGCTTCGTACAACGGAGGTCACTCCCGCAGGCTGGATGGCGTGGGAGTGGGACAGGGAGAGTGTCTGGCTGGACAGCTTGGTATCGAGGGTCAGGTACTGCTTCACCTGGTGCCTCTGGCTTTGCTGTATGTGGTATCTAGACTGATTTTCCAAGTGTGTTTGTACCTGAGAAGGAACGGAAATAATTACTAAAGTTTCAAGTTACTAGGACCATTATTTGCCCATACATTTACTTTAAAAACTTCATAATAGACACAACTTTAATAACACTTGGATAGGATTATTATTAAACTTTTTTTTCTATTTTGCACTCTTAAATATTTCTTATTTGTGTACTGTTTTCCCCTAACACAGACAAATAAGCCTTCTGAATATTTATAAAAGAAAAACAGAATTAGGAGATAAATCTGATCTTGAAAAAAGACCAGAAATATGAGACACATTTTTCTCTTCTCATTTAAGAGTGATTTCTGTTGAAATCACTGATCATTATAGTCAAATCCATAAGCAGGTATGTGCTCCAAAATGAATATTGTAGTATATTTACTGTTTTGTAATCGAAAGAGTAAATAAATGCAGAAAGAAAAACACAATCCAACCAACTTCAATACCAACAGCAGCAGACATTCACTCATACCTAAATCCACATTTGGCTCACCTTGTAATAAGTACAGTCAGTTAAATGAGGCATTACTGTATGCTTGCAAAAGATAAAACAAAATAAAGAGTCCAATCTACAGTTCTGGATGACTGCTCACTATCCTTAAATCGCACAGTCTTCTTGAAGTGCCTCTTGAGGACAGATCACTTTTTGAGTTGGGAGTACTTTATAAACTGAGTGGTCATGCCAAAATGGCTAATTGAGTAAGACTTTGGGCTATCCTTTGATTACAGAGATTGACAGTTGCTACTTCAAACAGCTCCCATTTCAGATCAATGTCACATTCCTGCAATTTAACTACCAGAGGAGCACTGCATACACAAACCTTACTGTCATTTCAGCCCTGTGGCTTTCTCCTCTTCCTACGGCATGACTGGTCACAGATTTCTTGTAATAAATTTTTCTCAAGTGGCCTCTGTGTAAGCATGATTAATATTTGTTAAATAATAGCAGGGCTTGCTTAGCAGCCCCTTTTTCCCAAGAAAAATCCCTCAGTCATTCAAACAAACTTCTTTTTAATTCCCTAACATACATGAGTAGAGATAAATAGCCCATAAAAGGGGTTTGCATTTAAATTAGCTATATTTTTGCATAGCATTGAAACACCTACTTTATTTTTAGTTTTGTGGTGGCATATCTAGAATAACTTTAATTATCTTTCTTTGAACTAATTTTGTAGTTATATAAAAAATATTAAGCCATGCAGTGATGAATATACTATTAAATATTTTGATGTAAGCCTTAAGTTATTAAATAATATTCCATTACAATATGGATATAATATCTTAAATACACTTTACATTTTCCTCTGGTTTATATTATGAAGGTATGCATCCCACATAACGTTTTAAAAACTACATGTATTTGAGATTTACTTAAATCATAATATCACTTTTCTTAACTGAGATCTTCTAGTTTTAGAAAGTGTATAATGTAATAATTTAAGCTCTGATTTATTATGTGTAAAGATACAGGTGAAACCATTTGAAATCACTCAGGTTATTATGCATCTGATTGTTCCTTCAGCTTCAGTAAGACTTAAGCTCATATTGAAAATTAGACACTCAGTTTCTTAAGTTAGAAGCCAAACACAAAATCATCTGCATGCCAGTTTAACCAGAGTCTCGATCTTCAGTGAAAAGCAATGTGCTGAGGAAAAGAAAAATTGCCCCATTGTGTGGCCAGAGCAGGGATTTGCTGTGCACCCTTATTTTCTGCTGTTGTTTCAGAAGCACCCTCAAATATTTCATGCTGTGCTGGGCTCTAAAATCACTGAATGAATCCACACCAGCTGACCACTACCCAGAACCCTGGACTGCCTAAACTGATGAAGATCTCTTTCCAGCAGTTCAGAGCACCGCAACCAACAGTTTTGAAAGCACAGCTTCTTCACATGGCATAAAAGTGAGTGGGATCAATGTATAGGATAAAACCCCATCTACTGCATTGCACCCCAGCTATTTTTTCCTTTCAAACGAAGCTGATGATCACTCCATAATGAACAATGAATTGTTGTCTTAGAAGTTCTCCAGGCCTACCTGAAGCATGCAATACAGAGTATCTTATATCTCCAAATTAAATGAAAAACATAAGAAATTTACAGTGTCGGAAATCTATGCTACCCTGTTTAAAAATTTGTTTTTAATAAGGTATTTTAATAAGGAAGTGGATTCTGCCACAAGAAGATTGTTGAAAAGTCAATGGCTTGATTTTTGCTTTCTCTGGACTTTGTACTGCTAGAAACAGACTAAAACCTCTGTGTATCCTGATTTCCTAGTGAATTGCTGCAGGGCCATCCCACCAAGCAAGGGGAGGATCTATGAAAGACAGCCAGCTAACTGCTGGTGTAAGTCAAAAATCAAGTTTATCATGAGTGCTTATTTTGTATGAAATTTTTTCAGTGCTTATATCCTACCAGTACTGTCCTGAACTTCCACAAACAGGAAAAGAATTTAAAGCTTTACTGACAGGATCTGTATATATGGTTTTGCAAACCTCTCTATCCCCTTTACTGTGCCAGTTGGGGTCATTACAAAACAGAATCATTAAGGTTAAAAACAGATTTAGGCCCTCATTTTCAGAAAGTATCTAAAGTTGCAATCCCTGATCCAAATAAGTCTTAGAAGTCAATGCTAATAATAAGAAGCAAAACACTTTGGAATGTCTAATCACAATGTAAAGGTAAAGCAGATCTGGAATGCTGTTTTTATGATCATACTGCTAGCGTATAAGTGGGGGAAAAAAGTCAAGATATGCTAAAGGTATACTAAAATTGCAAGTCAACCCCTCAAAAACTAGAAATTACTGTGAAAACTGCCCAGGCAACGTGTGTGAAATAGGAGTAAAAAGTCAAAACCAAATTATTTTATGAAATCAGATAGTTCAGTGTCAAATACCAAGTATGATTGGTTTATACTCCACAGGGATGCTAGATGACTTCTATTATATCAGTAGTATGAAGCTATGTTTCAATTTAAGTTTTCTGAAAATTTCAGATTGAATAAACACTTTTAAATAGCTATTACTATAATTGCAAGCATTAAACACTGTCTTGATTTTGAGCTTCTTTTTAATAATGTAAAAAGAGTGGCTAACCACTGGCACAGCTTGCCCAGAGAGACTGATGAATCTCCACCCTTGGAGATTTTCAAAACATGACTGGCCAAGGCCCTGAACACCAGAGGAAGCAAAAGAAATCAAGAAATAGACAAGGAAACTTGAATTGATAGTCTAAACATTGAAGCTCTGGATAATGATTATTAAGCCTGAGGAAAAAAAAATGGTATCAGGTTAGGAGTTCAATGAAATGCAAAAAGCAAAAGAACTGAAAGCTTACTCCCACACGTAAGTACTTCCACAAGGAAGACACCCCAGAGTGACATGCACTTAGCTGCTTAGAGACCTTAGTCATGTACATGTCTTAGGTCCAGTAGACACGGTCCTTCCACCAAAAATTGAGAAAAAAAAATAAATTACAGAGTAGAAGCATCCTTATTTTGCCCAATAATTCGGGTACAGTATTCTCCAGCAAGCACTGTTAGGAGGCAAATTTTTTAACTCCTCATCTTTTGAGGACTTCCAATAAACTGTGAGAACATTTTGCCAGAGACTATGTGAAATTTTAAGGTCTCCAGTGTAGGAGCCTTCCCATATACAAAATCATTGAACCGTCTTTGGAAGAGGGACCTGCAATGTTGATGTTGATACACGCTTTACTGCCACAACAGCCTGAATATAGGGTTACCTTTTTTTTTCTTTTCCCCCTCTCTGAGTCAATAAATATTTAATCATTTGTTTAATGCAGGACAGCTTTAAAAGAAGATCCTTAGATGCTTTTCAAGATAAAGCATCCAAGAAGCTCATGGCTCCATGGGTTCTCGTTGTTGAAACAAATTAAGCAGTGTGATTTGATAAAGCATGTCTTCTACCTCTCAGCAGATTGTTTTCCATTAAGTGTCTCTCTGCCTTTCTATTTTTTTGTGAAGTGGATGACTCTGCTTACTGACATGTCTGATTTCTGGGAATCTGTGGTAGAAATAGACACGCAATGGCTACGTGATGATCCATAGCCTAACTCAGATATACTTGAGACACAGCCTAGGACTTAACTGCTACCCTACTGGCATATCTGCTCTAGCTCTTGGTATATTCAGTGACATGACCCTTCCTGCCAAGTGCTCCTTAGGGCTCTTTTATAGGCTCTTTTACTGTTGTGTGTGCAAAGTGTAACAAGGTGATGAATTTGCACAGATAAGTGCTGGTTCTCCTTCCAGGCACTCTCTTGCAGCAGCTGCAGCAATGTACTTTAAACATTAATTATTTCAGATTATTTGCAGAGTGAAGGACAGCATAAAGTTCAACAGTAAATAGATTAGCAGCTCCTTCTAGGCTCTGCTTTTGTCTGTTATCTGGCTTTCCTAATCACGGTGATATTAAAGCCTATTCAAAACAGGAAAAATCAAGCACGTAGGGAGTCAAAAGCATCCAGCCCAAAATCAAAACTCAAACATTATAATTCCACCAGAACAAAGCTAGAACAGAAATGAACACTTTGATGGATTTTGTAACCCAGAAAAGATCCCAATGCACATGTAACTGACTGTACCTATTTCTATTTTATATCTCACTGACAAGCCTGTTCTGCAAAAAGAATGTAACAGCCTTTCGGAATTACAGATGCATAGTCAAACTTCTTCAATTGCTCTTTCTAATTTGAGCATACATCATCATGTTGTAAAACTGGGGTAGAGTTGTGTAACATCTTTCCCACATTCACGCTAATTTAACTTTCATTTCGAATATATTGCACAACGGCATAACTAGACCTTTGGTTTATTTACATAGACTATTTTACTTCCACATTTGCTGATGAGAATTTTTGTCCATTAGTAAAAGAATATCTAGTATGTCAAGAGTAAGGAACAGTTCATGCTTACGGGACCTAAAGAAGGCATGAACCATGTCAGTGATATTCCAGTAAGCAGTGTCGTGTAGCAGTGCTACA